AAACCAATTCAGGTGAAAGGGAAGCTGTCAGCAGCCAGGACATTCAGCAGTGGATGACGAAGGGGTGGCCAGAAATCTCCACGAAGTTTTCTCCCGTGGAAATCTGCAATGCCTGGCGAGATGTGAAGACAGACACAGTGGTCAACTACTTCCACAAGGCAGGCTTCGAGACCGCGGAACTAGCGGAAACCTGTGAAAACGACGACGACGAGCGCATAGATGACGCGTTTCGCGAGTTATCGCCCCGCTTCCCGGCAGCAGTTCCACATGAAGTGTCTGCAGACGACTTCATAGAAGCGGATTGCTATGTCCAGGCCGACAGCTCATGTTATGAGCAGGATCATTTGAATGAGGCGCTCGCTACAGGACGTACTCTGTCGTTGTAGTGGCAGCAGCATTCGGCATCATTGGTCGTAGTATTGGCCACATAGAGGAAACCGGGTTGTCGCACCTGGACAGCCTGGATAAGATTGAGACTAGCATCTTCAACATTTCAAATACAAAGAAGCAGGCCAAGTTTAGCAATTTTTTTTTTTTTTCACGCAAATAAATCATTCTGTTTAGGCGTGTGTGTGGAATTTGTTGTAATTCTTGAATGCACCTATTGTAGGTGATGATTCGTTACAGGTAAGCTCTCGGGGCCTCTAATTTTTTTTCATATCGAATTTTTTATCTATCGAACTAATTCGCGATCCCCTTCGAGTTGGATATATCCGTATTAGACTGTATATTAAGGAAGTTACAAGGGTTAGAACATCCTTTTCAGCTGTAGGCCGTCGTCGTCGGTGCTTTCAGCTGTAGGCTGTCATCGTGACTCCGCCCACAGACAACACTTTTAACCCCAGTTGCTCATGTCGAGAGCGAAGCAGGTGCACACAGGCGCTATGTTGAACTGTAGTTTAGTGAGGAATGTATGCATGACAACTGCAAGGCCGAAACTGTATCACCGCAGTACCAAGAGAAAAGGGGCATTATCGTAGTTATTGGTGGAAACAAGAACTGACTTTGACCATTGCAGTTTGCCGAGACCTGGTTTAGATCGATTGACAAGCTGCCTGCTGTGTCAAGTTGCCGACCGTCGACTTGGCGTCACTGTACGTAGAAGGATTGGTCAGGCGTAGGAAAGGAGTGCGGGAATCGTTTTTGAAATGGAGGCCCTGCACATAACGCAGTGCTTTAATATTCAGGAAAACGTGATCGCTGCAGTCTACTCTACGAATTGCCAAGCTTGTTTGGGGGGAGTAAGAAATGTCGAAGCCTGTTGACTGGTCTTTTAGGGGCATTTATCAAATAGCGATTACAAATGCAGATGTACTGGTGGAAGAAATTATAAAAAAGCTCTTATGGATGAAGGTCTATGGATAAAGTATATTTGAGTAAAAGTGTGAATGCATTTCCATTGTTCATGTGTTCTTTTGATAGACCTGACGGACATTCTGGTGACACGCATGCAGTCATTAATGAAAATTATTCTAATTACGTGCAGTGCGGCTCTTCAAACAAGCTATCAGCAATGCTGCTGGAATGGATGACATCAGCCGATGAACCATTGCCGCAGTAACATGCTAGCAATTGAGCTAGGCGTCAAGAACTCCTGGCTGCAGAAATGCATTTTGCCGTTAAGCCGACTTGCTCAACAGAAGTTGCGGAGGCACCAACCATAGCATCGTGGATCATTTGGGATGAACATCCAACGACCATTTATTAAGTGGAACAATTCTAGGTAGCTATTGCTGATAGTAAACGCTGCCAAATTTGACTTTGATGCAGTTTGGTGCAGTTTTCATGGATATTGTTGCGGTTAAGATTGAAAGATGTTTATTAACAGGGTGAGGTTGATGATCGGGCAATGCTGGCGTCGGTAGAGGGTACCAGTCCACGTCTTCCTCCTCTTTCGGCACACAAAGTTTCGTTTTCTTGGAGGGAAACATCTTTTAGACACCAGCGATCACACAATTTTGCGGCGCATACACGCATGAGCATTTTAACAAAATGTGCTGCGTTCCGTGACGAGCGCTAACAACCTCTTCCACATCACGACTTTTACACTTTTCCACAGAACATCCCTGTACTTGATGAAAGTTGCTTCAGCAGGGTTCTGCATGGGTTAAAACAAGGCGAAGAAAATTTCAAAAGCCATACTCCTTCCCCTCCCCCCATTCCCACTTTTTTTTTTCTTGACGGTAGGGTTAGGTTTAGGACCCAACTTCTCAGCTTGCTTGCAAGGCGTGTTCGAACAAATAAAGTGACTTGCTGATCATTCCTAAGACCTGTTTTTCATAATTGCTTCATCGGGAGCTGCTTGCTCACAAGCTTGTAGTGCATTCACCCATGTCCTTGCTGGGTTTCCCTGAGAAAAGGCGTGGCTCTATCTGACACATCCAGGCGCTCCCGCCGGAGGAGTTGAAGACGATTGTTGGTCCCTGTGGTTCAACATTGCGAGCTCTGGTAGTGCTGGAGGCAGTCGGGCGAGGCGTCGGCTTCGGCGTAGAACTAGCGGCAAGGGCTTCATCGTCTTAGGCAATTACCCAGCACCTCCACCACAAAACTGTTACGTTTAAAATTGAAGGACGTTTATTAACAGGCAGAGATTCCTTGCTTGCTAGCTTGTTTCTATATGTTTTGGCTGGTACCCACTATAACGGATTGGCCATTAAACCGATGGTTATTGTAATGGGGGAAACGAATTGTTAAATTTTGAAGAAGAAAAAATCATTTTTCAGTCATCAAGGGAATATAAGAGTGGCTAAAAATAAGGTGACTTACGAATAAAGTAGGTAAATAACTAATAACTGAAAGGAATAAATGGATGGTAAGTTCAGAGAAATAGAGTTTCATTAGGTAAAAAAGAAAAAAAAAGAAAAGGAAATATAACGAGCAAGCCTTCTTGTGTCTGAGAAATTCACAGACGCTCGTGTTGCTGTTGCCCAGAGAAGAAGCCCCAAGGATAAGGATGTTATCCGAATGAAGGGTAATGTTTAATTTTCCGAATATAGTTTCTGAATACTTTTTCCTGTGGCTTGTGAAACGTCGGCAAGTAAAAAAAAGTCACAGCTTTGCCGCAAAGGCGAAAGAATGAAAGCAATAGCAACAAACTGGAAGGTCACGTACAGAATGGCAAGCAGATCGAAACGTGCCCCGCGTTTCTCACACACAAAGTATGCACGAAACGTACTCATAGGTACAGGTTAACACAAATAAGCGTCTCAAGTGTTGCCTCGCTGTGTCTGAAAAGCACGCCCTTTTTCCAAACGGAGACTGTGCAACAATTGCAGTGACCTTTGCCCGCCCGGTAACTACAACAAAATCGTTCCGACAAAACTCAAAGGCTAGCCAAGACGAATTCTCTTCACTACAAGATAAGGGCACGTGATTGAACGTACACCCCCTTATTCTCTACGCGGGCCAAAGTACGCACGAGAGATGAGAGCCGCCGCGCGCTCACTGGGCCATCTTGCTGATAATAGTGAAAACCCTATAGTTCCCCTCGAGATGCCAGCCAACAACGGTAACTGGTAGATTGAATAGCTTGTCGTTTGAACGATGAAGGAGGCACCTCTCGGTGGTCAATGCCTCACATTCACGACGCGGAGGTCTGACGTTCGATTCCACACGCCGGAGTTTTTTTTTTTTTTCTGTCTTGCGTTTTCATATATATAGATGCGTATACATATACGGTGCATGACATCGACGCCGTCACCCACGTGGACGCCGACGCCGGTGGTGAAATCCAGCCGAGAGTGGCCATATAATTGCTATCGCAATAAAAATGATCGATGTTTTCTGGCTCTTGACAGTAAAAGCAAAGGAGAGATGGCACCTGACCAGACCTGTATAAATAGAAATTAAGAAGCGGAATTCAGCATCGAAATTTTGTGATGCACACTTCAAATTTGCGAGAAGCCCCGCCGCGGTGGTCTAGTGGCTAAGGTACTCGGCTGCTGACCCGCAGGTCGCGAGTTCGAATCCCGGCTGCGGCGGCTGCGTTTCCGATGGAGGCGGAAATTAAGGAGGCCCGTGTGCTCAGATTTGGGTGCACGTTAAAGAACCCCAGGTGGTCTAAATTTCCGGAGCTCTCCACTACGGCGTCTCTCATAATCATATGGTGGTTTTGGGACGTTAAACCCCACATATCAATCAATCAATCAAATTTGCGAGAAGGGCACTATTTATTATTCTAAGCAAGGCAAAGATGACCGTATTCTTGAACTGGTAATCTAACTTTCATGGAATCCTGCCGTAAAGGATATCTACGAAATCGAGATTCAGTGACAGAACTGGCTTCAGGTACAATGGACATTAGAGGACCATCTAGAGATCGAGCAATTATGGTGTCTGTAGGCGGTACCAGTTCACGCCTTCCTTCTGTTCTCCTTCCTCGACTCATACCCGTTCAGTTATCAGGGTGGTGCCGTAAATATAATTTGGCGCAGTTGGTGCAAGAGTAGAATCACTCCAATCCCTATTCACTGCTGTAGGTATGAAAAAAAAGTTTGAATAGGCGTTCATTTGCTAGTCCAGCAGTGTATTTTTGTCCACATTCAAGCATGTAGTTGGCTGAAACCCCTCAGCAACAAAATGAAGACACATCTTATGCTAATTTCAATAACAGTCCATGCATGCATGAGCCAACTGTCGGTTAACTGGCACAAAGAAAAAATCAAGTGCCTTCAAGAGTTTTCCTTTAAGTAGGCCCCTGCTGCATTGATAGGTTCATCTGCAGGTTTTCGTGCCTCCTTTCCTTTTCACGGTTGTGTGCATCTCCAGTTGTTAATGCGCGTTGGTGGTGTCTTGGCTTCATTCAAGTGTTTGCACACCCCTTCTTTACCAGAATGACCATTAGTGAAATCTTAATTTTCAGATAAGGGGTGGAAAAAAAACAATGCCAGAAAGAAAAAACTCGTTCAGCACTTCCAGATAATTAAACTAACGAAGGCTCTCAACATGGTCACAAGCCTTGGTGATCTGAGACTATGCTAATCAAAGTGAAATGAGCTCACCCCATTGAACTTGTTGATGAATGGCTGCCGGGAGGCAATGGGCGTGGCACCAGTCATCACCATGTAGTTGTAGCCCTGGTCCTGGACAAAGCGCTCCAGGATCACCAGCATCTGCAATGTAACACACTGCTAACCCTGCATTGTCATCTCAATTCAACAGTCAGCGCTGTCCCGCATGCGGGCTTTCGCCTTTTCCACCATGCAAGAGGAATCGCAAGCTTGGCAGGCTTTAATGGTCGCGGCTCTTTTCCCGACCCTGTACCCAAACTTGGTTCCACGCGTGCTGCCCTCAGCTGAGCTCGTGAGTGCAATCTCATTTGCGCCAGATCTAATGTTTTCTCGGGCAAACTTTTGAGGCGGCGCGCCAATTCAGATGTAGGTAGGTTTCAAGGCTAGACCTTGCGAGCGCTAACCACTGAACTGTCCCTGTGGTAGCAGCCACGAATGTACTATTGGGTGCCGAGTCAACGAAACATTTTGCAGTGGTTACATTTTGAAAGGGCTAAATATATGAAAGCAACTTTCCAATTATGACAGCAGCGACTCGCATTTGTTCACGAAAATGAGGGTGTGCATGGTGCATGTGCAATATTCGACTTGTTGTTCGCACTCGCCAATGCTTTGGACATTGCGTTTACAGCAAGTGGAAATTTGGTTGCCGTTATGCGGGGAAATCTTGCGGATAAACGAGAAGCTCTGAAAAGTGAGTCGATGATTTCCTGCAACAGTTTCTCTTCTGAGCTCGTTGATTCGGCACAGCAGCTGTGTGAACCTGAACTTTTCAATATTTGAAAATGTAAGGAAATGAGATTTCACATCTCTGCAAACCAACTCAATTAACAGTCAGCTCAATAAATGCTGCGCATTCGCAGTCTCTGCATATTAGCATTTTGCTTCGTATATGCGTTCCTTTGGCGATTTATGTTATGTAAGTAGCTTATGGTGAAGCAGAAGGGTAATCCGACCAGCACTGCACAAGCGCACACATTTACCTTCATCTACGCATGTTCCGAGCCACGGTAGTGTGGTGTGCACGTGACAATAGACGCACGCTCGGGCGTTCCAACCACTAGAAGTTGCAGTTTAATTTTCAAAATATGAGAACACTACATCTAGCTCAGCTTTGGCACAGAACAATGGAAACGTAGCAGGATTGGTCTTCGGCACAGTTTGGGGATATTGGCACAGCTATCACATCACTGTGTCAGATCCTTGAAAGCAAGAGGCAAACGTGTAACGTGGTGTAGCCACTTCACAATAGGGTTTCTGACATCAAGGTCATCAGCAAGGTCCTGCTAATGAAATCTGCACATACTAAAACAGAATCGTAACTGCTCCACCCGGGAGGCATGTTTTTGTTATTGCAATGACATTTTTGGGGTCTTGTGAAGAGCTAGAAATATTTCGATTCATTGCAAACCACATGAAGGCAATCATCTTTGGAGCACTAGGTTAACACTCGCAACGCTCTAAATTTCATACGAAAAAACCCACAGAGAGGCGCAGGTAGGACGCACACGAGCGCGAACTATACAACTGTTTATTTGATGAAAACATATACAGGGTGAAATAAAAAAAGAAAAGAAAGAGAGCGTAAAACTGCACACTGCCCACTAGAAGAAAGCAACCATCTGCGTGACATCAGTGGGCAGTTTTACGCTCTCTTTCCTTTCTTTTCCCTTTCACCCTCTACGTGTTTCCATTGAATAAACAGTTGTTAGTTTGCACTCGTGTGCGTCGTACCTGTGTCTTTTTTTGGTGTGCAATGTAGCCCGTTGCGAGTGTTAAACATGAACAACCAACTAGCTGGCCATTCTATCTGCAGGAGCACTCGCTATTCCACTCAATCATGCAGAAACAAAGACGTCATGCTGTTGAGCATTCTGTAAAACAGCGATATTTTTTATATTGAAAAACCAGAATACTGGTTCAATGAAATTGTGCTTTTTTAAATAACATCTTAAGTACACCTATGTGGTTATCAGCAGACATTGCCGACAAAGGCTGTGACATACAATGCTGCAGACTCACATTGTCCCACCTGAATTCCCTTAAGATGACTTCAAGGAGAAAAAGAGGTTCTTTTTTGTCAGAACCGATCATATTGCTGGGCATAACATGACATCACTTAGCTAGTATGATAAAGGCAACCTCCTCCGACACATCTGTGCTGGGACTACATGAACATGACTTACCAAACTTTGTTCCCTTTTTGCAGCTATGGCTAGGGCATTCTGTCTATAAACAAAAAACTTTCTAGTGTCAGATAATAAGCAGTGCAAAAGGAACAAGAAAAAAAACCACACAGGGTACCTTATGCATATGCCTAAGATGACTCGAAGGCGAAAGCCATTTTGTTTTAATTGCGATAGCAACTATATGGACATTCTCAACTGATTTTTTCCATTGCTATCATATTTTGTGTAATGTCCAAATAATAACATCCTCTGCACATCCGATGTTTTCCACGCCAGTAAAAGCGCACAAGCGGCAGTGACAATCCCAGTTGAAGCAGAGATAAAAAGAGACCACCTATCTTCATTGCACGAAGGCCACCCACATGCAATAACATTACCTCGCGTGCTAGGCCTGCCATCAATTGCTACTTCCGGCCCGTCTTCAAGGAGCATGAAGGAACTAGGAATGCAAGGAGGGGGTGGATGGGGGGTGATGTTTGAGGGTGTTATTGCTGGCGCATGCACTATTTCAGCAGGCATTACAGACGGCTCGTATACCCTTTTACGTGTCGCACTCTCAACGCGAGCCAACTGTGCAAAAAGTGCTTCGCTTTCTGGAGCGGTCATATTGATGGTATGCATTGAGCCTTGATCCCAAGGCAGCCATACCATCGTCGTGCCATTTTGAAGGTCCATTCGTATGCGCCGTTCGTGCTGTACAGGCATCACAATTCAGGTATTTCGCGGCACATATGCACCAAGTTTTTTTGCGCGTGTGGCTAGTGCATGGACATTCGAAATGGCAACCCTACCGTAAGTGCTCCTCATGGATGACGTCAAGCCTTACTTGGTATAGCAATACAATTTGTTGGTATCACATTTATTGCTAAGAGCTGAAGTGAAACTAACAAATTGTATCTTTCAGACCCAGTATCGTGTAACTCAACAGAACAGTGGTTAGAGGGACTACGACTACTCCAGGTGCCGAAGCGGTTTTTGTTCTGTCAGTAATTTGACTGCAAACTAGATGTTATTAGCATAAAATGTTTACAAGGAATTTTATAATAACTCAAGATAGCACGCGCCAGCGGCTGCACTTCTCACCTCACAAAACAAAGCAATAATGGCGATACCATAATGTCCTGGTGGAAGGAATTATGAAAAAACTCTCTAGATGAAGATCTATGAATGAACCATATCCGAGAAAAAGTGTCGACACGTTCCCGCTCCTCACTTCTTCTTCTGTGGACGCAAAGCATGAAAAATCAGATCGCGATGTCCAGAAATAGACGTGACAGACATTCTCGTGGCACGCTTTAGTGACAAGTGCTTTAATTACATGCAGTGCGACTCTTAAAACGAGCTATCAGCAGCGTTCCTGGAACGTCCGACGTCCGCCAATGAATCGCCACCAGTTACACGCTACCGATTGGACTAGACATCACAAGCACCTGAGGAGAGCGCGTTTTGCTGTTGAGCTGAATTGCATAAACAAGGCTTGTGGGCATTGAGCACAGCATCATGGGTCACTTGGGATGCGCGCGTGACCGCTGTTTATTTAGAGTTCTAGGTACGCGCTAGTGACATCGACTTGACCCGAGAACAAACTGCACATGTTTTGAAGCACCAGCGTGGCTATTGCCGGTGATAGACGCTCCCAAATCCGACTTTGGCACAGTTGGGCGCAATTTCCGTTGATATTATCTGCATGGCACAATAAATCTGATTTGGCACAATTTGGTGCAGTAGGTGCAAGAGTGATATCACTGCAATTCGAATACTGTACAATTCATTCAAATATTCTAAGCATTCGAATACTCACACAAGCCTACTGTTATGAAAAACAAGGGTCGCATGCACCGTATTTGTTTGCCACTGCCGCTGCCGGAGTCTGTAACCACTATCGCACGAAATAATAAAAAGAAAACTAAAAAAACTAATTTAGGAACACCAAGAATACTATAGGATTCGAATGTGGGTGCCCTGCATGCCAGCCCAGTATTCAATCGCAGAGCCACACCGGTGCTTGAACCTCCATTGCAAACTGCCCTAAGGCAGGCTTGATATCAGGAAAAGAATAGCGTTAATATTAGCAATAAAGCATTTTAGAGAAATAAAAGAACAACCAGGCATCACACACAATGTGAGTTGCTTAATAAGGAATTCATCGTATGCTCCAACCTCATTACAAAAACTGATATGATGCGCCCAATTACACTACAGTGAAACTGGTTATACCGTACCCACTTAAACATAGTTTTGTTTTAAAAATAGTAAACTTAAATCTTCATCTCGGCGGCCATTGAACATAATGCATTTGTATCTGCATGAACTGTACCAGCTTATCGCGTATGTATCGGTTAAGCCCAATTACACTACAGTGAAACTGGTTATACCGTACCCACTTAAACATAGTTTTGTTTTAAAAATAGTAAACTTAAATCTTCATCTCGGCGGCCATTGAACATAATGCATTTGTATCCGCATGAACCGTACCAGCTTATCGCGTATGTATCGGTTAATAAGTAGTTTTTCCAATTTTCGTTGTGTTCTCGTCATGGCATGTTGTCCCCCACTTGGGCATCCGGACAGAACAGCAAGCCCCAGAGATCAAAACACGTCTCGCTTGTTCGTGTTGATGATGGTGGCAGCTGTGTCAGTGAAGCACCATCCTTTGGATTTTTCTGCAAAAAGAAGTACATGGACTCCGACATTGAAAGTTCAGCATTTGGCCGGTATGGCTTTTGGTGTTGTCTACGCAATGGCACTTTGCACAAACATGCCATGATGTTCTGAGAAGAATTCAAAAAAGGGTGTAGCGTCGTGAAACGGCACTTCTGTGCGCAAAGGCCAACAGCGCAAGCACGAGAAGTTACGTGACTTTTTTCGTGCCGTTCAAGGGAAATAAAAGTTCAGTTGTTTCGGGACGCATGT